ATGCACAGATGTGCAACAGTGAATATGTTCTTTTTTTAAGCCACTTTTAAAAAAGAGTTTGTTACCAAATTCATATTGCTTAGAATGGTTTTTGTTTTTCTGCTTTTCATATTAGATTTCATTTCCTATATCTTTTTATATTATTTATTTATTATTTTTTACTGGCAGGATCAACCAGGTACCTGTATCTTCTTAAAATTCATTTTTTCCTTATCTATTTTTTCCTTTTTGAATCTTATGCATATATCCATTATTTAGAACTATTGTGGTAATTATGATATTTGGGATTTTGCTTACTCTTCTAAGCAGCATTCCTGTTTATATGCCCTGTGCCCAGTACTTAGTTACGTGGATGAACAATGACTGAATTGTGGGAGTGGTATGCAGGAAAAGTCTGAGTCCAGCTCCTGAAAGAGACCTGGGCTGGGGGGCACAGTGAGGGGCAGTGCTGGTATGATGTGGAGTCAGCATGTGACCCCATCAATGTGGGTGTGCTGCTTCCAGAGCAGGGGGATTCTAGAACACCACAGTTCAAAGGGGTTTGGGGATCTATTCATCTGAGCCTCCAGCCCTCATGATAGATACAGCAACAATGTCAGCCACATGGCAGGGGGCAGCAGCATACTGTTGCAGAAGGAGGTGGGCTTTGGATTCAGATGGACCTGGGATTGAATCCTTATCCTAAGACTAAGTAGTTGTGTGACTTCAGGATATCTTCTCTGTGCTTCAGTTTCCTCTTGTTCAGTATCCTCTTCTGATAATACCTACATCATAGGGTTGTTGTGAGGATTAAATGAGTGAATACATGTAGAAGAGCACCTGGCACATAATAAACATTGAGTAAGTGCCACTATTTTCATTATTAAAAATAATGAAATAAAATTATTATTAATAATAGAATATAAAATAATAATAGAATATAAAATTCTATGGTGGTGTTTGGCCAGTAGCATATCTTGTGACATGTCTGCTCCGTAGATAAGGTGTGACTTTTGATGTCAATTTAGGGCTGGGTATAGCTAGCCAGTCTGCTCTGAATGGGTTTCCTCCTCCTGGGATGCTGTCTCATCACATGGTGATTGGTGATGCCTGGGCTGTTACTTTATGGACCAAACAGAAGAGCTTCCGTAAAGATTAGTACTTTCCAGAGAATCTTGTGATCTTTTCATTCAATAATGTGTTTTCTGTTAGAAATAGGACAGTAAATAGAACAGGTAACCTGGAGTTTATAGTCTAGCCTTAGCTATAGACAGTCTGCATTTTTAAAGAGACCAAATAGTTTTCTCCCGGAGGTTCATGTAAAAAAGATTCAACAGAACATGAAAGTAGTTTCTTATAGAAAGGGGAAGTGTCTTCATTTTTATTCTGTGGCTTGCTCCAGGTGGTCACCACGTGACACAGTGTTGACTATGACAAAGCCTCTCTTTCCCCTTTTCTACCTAAAAATGCTCTTAGGAGCCCTGTTTCTCAGGTCTTTATATTTGGACATTCTACTCTGGATTCTCTACTTTGTTTCTTTGACTTCTGGCAAAGCAGTAGAAATAAATGTTTGTCAAACACTATAGGCACAGAAAAAGAATGCAGTCCAGTCCTGTGTTTCCTACTTCTTTTTTTTTTTTTTTTTTTTTTTGAGACAGAGTCTTGCTCTGTTGCCTGGGCTAGGGTGCCATGGCGTCAGCCTAGCTCACAGCAACCTCAAACTCCTGGGCTCAAGCAATCCCATTGCCTCAGCCTCCCGAGTAGCTGGGACTACAGGCATGCGCCACCATGCCCCGGCTATGTTTCCTACTTCTTATGGCTTGTGAAAGAAGGGAGTCTTGGTCCACAGAGCCTCTGGTCTTCTGCTATCCTTGTGCCCATCCCTGAGTTTTATGTTCTTTTTACTTGTAATAGCTTTATTGAGTTTTAGTTGACATACCACGTCCCTGAGTTTTTATCAGGAGTTTGACTTTGATGCTTATTTAAACTACTACAGTGTGGTAGAAAGAGTTTTGTGTTTGAAGCCAGAGGGGAAGAGCAAAGGGAAATCACATTTATTGAGTCCTTCATCATTCGATTCATCACATCTTTCTTGTGCTTTTACTCTGAGCCAGGCATTGTGAAAGGCACTATAGGGTATAGTTCAAGGACATGGGTATTGGAACCAGGTTATCTGGGTTTGAATCTCAGCTCTACCAATTGTCAGCTGCGGGACCTTATGACTTTTATTTAACTTCTCTTGTGACTTAGTACCCCTATCTGTCAAGTTAAGATACTAATAGTGTAGTGTCCACCTTACAGGATGGTTGTGAGAATTAAATGACTCATTATAGAGTGAGATGATGATGACAATGATGACAATGATGATGACAGGCAGGAGGGGGATTGGGACTCAACCAGACACTTCATTGCCTCATACTGCTCACAGTCATGAGTGTGTGTGTGTGTGTGTGTGTGTGTGTGTGTGTGTGTGTGTAGGCCTGAGGTGCTGAAGGATGGGGTTGGGAGGTAGATATAAATAATTGATTACAGTTAAGCATGGTGAATATTACCACAGTAGAGGAGGAGGGCGTTGTGGGAGCAGAGAGCAAGGAGACTGGGCCCCTTCACAGATCAGAGAAGCATACGAGGGGAAGTGGTATTTAAGCTGAGATCTAAAGGGGGAGTAAAAGTTAAGAGGCCTGGGTGTGGCAAGCATCAGCTGTGTTCTGTATTCTGGGCAGAAGGGACAGTATAGTGAAGGTCTGAGGAGAAAACCAATCCTGTAGTATTTAAGCAGTTGAAGAAAGCCAATGAGCCTGGATTGCGGGCTATAAGGAGAGTGTTGAGAGATGGGCTGGCAACAAAGGCAAAAACCAGATCATGGAAAACTTGGGAGTTGTATTAAGGAGTCTGGGTGACTAAGAGCCAGGTGCTGTTCTTGGGGGTTTCCATGAATTCTTTCAAGCATCACAAATCTACGTTATAGGTGTTATTAGTCCCATTTTGTTGATGAGGAAGTTGAAGCTCTGAACTATTGTCATTTGCGAAAAGGCACACACTTAGAAAGTAGTACAGCCAGAATTTGAACCTAGGCCTGTCTGGCTCCATACTGATGACACCATATACCTTTGGAACTTGAAGTCTTATGATTTTGGGCTACCCTCTTAATTTCCTTTAACCTCAGTTTACTCACTTGTAAAATAGGTAATATGTTAATAAATATCAGCCTTATATACTTGTGAAAACAAATGGAAATGTAGATAAAGGGCCAAGTATAGTGCCTGACATACAGTTAGTGCTACCACTGCTATGGACCCAGATTCTTTTGCGGAGAAATGTTTTTCCTTCACAGTCCCAGTGAACTGAGACGGAACTCCATGGGCCACTGCCTGCATGTTGGCTCGGTTATCAGTCATCCTTCCAAGGGTCAATTGAAATCCACATGGAAGTCACCTTTGTACACAGGGAATTGACTCCCCTGGCTACTTGACAGTTCAGCGTGGTGGGTTCTCCTCTCTGCTCAGCAGCCTGCAGCTATTTGAGTGACCCTGAGGTCACTCAAGTTATTAGACAAATAGATTATTAGTTAATAATAATCCAAATTTGGAAACAAATGACATCAAACTGAACCTAAATATTAATTTTTTTAAAAAAACTCTAATACAAATTAAACCAAACAAATTCCCTGCCTATAGGAGTGACCCTGAGGCTTCTCTAACGCTCCCAAGCACCCTGCCCTCATGAGCTCACGGATGTCATTTTCCTCTCCCTCCAGAGTCTCTTGGGCCTGTTCTGCCTACACCTTATGAAATGAGCTCTGCTATTGGCTCAAATTGTTACTTAACTTTTTTGTTGCTATTTAACTTTTCTCATGTTGGTCCTAAGGGCAGACGTTGTTTCCTCTCTGTATTTCCTGCGCTGCTAGGGTAGTACTACAGTAGGCACTCAATAGATTAACAATTGCTTTCACCAGGATAGGGTTTTATGTGTGCCAAGGCTCTTTTGTAAGATTTTTTTTTTTTATCTTCACAACAGTCCTCTGAAGTAGATAGAGCTCGTAGTATTCTTTTTAGCACAATTGGAGAAACTAAGGCCTACACAGATGCAACATACCTATTAATTAATTTTTTCCTTCTATAGGGTAGACATTTACTAAGTGTAGCTCTGTCTCAGGGACTAGGAAAATAGAGCTGAAAGACATAATCCCATCCCTCAAGACATTTGAACAAATAATTGTATACAATGAGTGAAGTTTTACGACAGAGGAATGGTGAAAGTATTTAACTTTTGGGGGGGAAAGATCAGTGAAAGATTCAGAGAGAAAAGGATGCTTGCATTGGGCCTTCAAGGACGTAAAAGGGATGGAAGAGAGGGCATCCCCGGCAGAAGAAATGTCATATACCAAAGCCTATAGGACTGAAAAGGCAGGCACTTTGTGAGGTCCTGTAGCATCAGCACGGCTGGCAGGTATATAGGAATGGGGTGATGATAGAGGGGAAAGATGGCTGCGACTCCCATTGGTAAGATCCCAAGACTCCCAGGACTTGCAGGAGACTGAAAGGGCCCTTCTTAGTTCCTTCCCCTTCCTCAGCCTCCTAGTCACTAGCACTTCTTCCCAGAGGCATAAACACCCCATAAACTACCTTTAAGCTCTGGATGGGCATTGCTTTGTCCTGCTTTGTGCATCCCCAGCTTGTCTACACATAGCCTTGCAATCTCCTTTCCCTACTAAAAAAGAAAACAGATCTTATCACAGGAGCAACCTGTGACCTGACTGCGTGGAGGAATAAAGGTTACCAGGTGAAAGGACATCTGTGTCATTTGCTCTCTGTGGCATGAGGTAGCTGGGAAGGAATAAAGTCCACCTGTGACTGAACACCTGTGTTCCTCTCTCGCTAGCAGGGTCACCAGAGGGGAGAATTAAATTACTCTTTAAATGAGGCAGGCCCGTTGTTCCCGAGGAGACAGTGCTGGTGCAACTTGAGCTCTGTGAGCAAGTCTGCCGGTGCCCCTCACTCTTTCTTGTGTTTGCCTTGCAGCTGTGTAAATGAGTATGGAAGATTATGATTTCCTGTTCAAAATTGTTTTAATTGGCAACGCTGGTGTGGGGAAGACGTGCCTGGTCCGACGATTCACTCAGGTAAGGGAACTTGGAAGCCCAGAGTTGGATTTCTCAGTCTAGCCTGCAGGGTTAGGAAAATCTGTTGGGATGGGTGACCTGGTCCTAGTGCCAGTCTGTTGGCTGTGATTTCCTAATGCACCCTTTGAAAATTGCAGCCACATTATAGCCTAGACTACAGTTTTTAAACCACCTCAAGGGAGCATGGCTGTGTGGGTCATATCAAGCCTCCCAGGCCTCTTCTACTTTTTATTTATTTTTTTTATTTGGAGACAGAGTCTTGCTCTGTCACCCTGGGTAGAGTGCAGTGGCATCATCCGGGCTCACAGCAACCTCAAACTCCTGGGCTCAAGGGATCTTCCTGCCTCAGCCTCCCGAGTAGCTGGGACTACAGGTGCGTGCTATGACGCCTGGCTAATTTTTCTATTTTTACTAGAGATGAGGTCTTGCTCTTTCTCAGGCTGGTCTCGAACTCCTGACCTCAAGTGATCCTCCCACCTTAGCCTCCCAAAGTGCTAGGATTACAGGCGTGAGCCACAGCACCTGGTTCCATGCCTCTTGCTGCTGCTTTTAATGAAAGGGGCAAGTGGTTTTGCTTTTAGCATACGGTATCAAACATAAATTATTAGAATAAAAATAGATTATTAGTTAATAATAATCCAAATTTGGAAACAAATGACATCAAACTGAACCCAAATATTAATTTTTTAAAAAAACTCTAATACAAATTAAACCGATCAATTCCTGCCTATGGCCCTTACATTTTCCCAGGAAACTGAGTGAATCGTTTTAGTTTAGAACCAAATATGGAGATTTTCTAAATCTCTTTAATGGGAATGAAATGAGAACAGTGAAGTGTTACCTGAACAGAATCGATTGTTCCCCCTGGCTTAAATCCTTATCATATGACCTAAGTAGAAGGCCCCTTTGGGGCTGCCCTTTTGAGAATCACTGGCAGAGATTATATGCCTTTTTTATATAGACATTAGTGAGAAATCATTCTGAGTTGACCTCCTTTCTGTTTTCCCCTGAAAAATATAAATGGTGCCCTTTTCAGGACTATCATGGATGTATCTTGCATTTTCCTAAAGTGCTCATTGGGAAAGTTGAGACTAGCTTTTCTATCTAGAGCACGGGCAACCTGGTGCCATGGAAAGAGCACTGGCTGGAGAGTTGAGACTTGGGTCCTAGTCCCCATTCTGCCCGTGGCTTACCCTGTGAGCCTGGGTAAGCTACCTCCCTGCCTGCCTGCTCTGCTGCACATGAAGGGCCAGGTGAGCTCCAAGGCCCCTTCCAGTTCTAACAGTCTGTGGTTCTGTGGAAAACTGGAGAGGCAGATTGAATCACACAAAAAGCTTTAGGATCCACAGTCACTGTGGAAATGTCAGAGTTTTTCCCATGATGAGTGAACGCAGAATAGAACCCTTGCTTTTTACTAAGCCTTGGCCTGGTGAAATCAAAAGTAACAAGCTAACAGGCATCTGGGCTCAGTCAACCACCATGGAGATATATCGGAAACTCCAACTGGTTTTACTTCCACCTAACATTAATAATCTTTTCTGCTTTTTACAGAAGGACAAGTCTGCAGAGACGCAGATTAAGTTTCAGTCCCTTTATAAAAAGTTCCTTGTCTTAGTATTGAAAGGTCACTTAGAGATTATTTAACCCACTCCTCTCATTTTACAGGTGAAGAGCTCAGAACTGGAGGGACTGAATGGCTTAAGATCTTACATCATGCTAGTGGCAAGGCCAGGATTAGAACCCAGGTCTCCTGGTACCCAGCCTGATAATTCCTATCTCCTGCATATTCTAACATCTAAGATCATTCTCTATAAAAGCATAAACCTTGTCAATAAGGGTGAAAATACCTCCATTTTGAAACAGTAATTTTTACCAACAGGCACTCTTGTTTTTCTTCTTTTTTATTTTCCTTTTTCTGTCTATTTTTTTACCCCTCCCAGCCCCTCAACTCCCTTATAAGTTCATATTTCATAGGCAGGATTATGTTTGTTTTTGTTATTTAGTAGACAGTTAAAATGAATTGGATTCAGCTGTTTTTGAGGCATGAAGGGTTGGGGAACAAAATGGTAGAGGAAACTTTGGGAAGGATTTGTTTTATATTTTGATATTTGCTGAGCTGCAAAACAGCTGGAACTATAAACTTGAAGCTTGGTAGCCTTGTATCTGAGCCAAGCCGAAACAGAAGAAAATTAATTCAATATTTGTAAGTAAAGTTATGAATGTTTATATTTACATCTTTTTGCAGACATGCAATGGAACATTTTCTTTTGGTTTGAAGCTCAGTCTTTTAAGTTAAAACTTTAATTAGATAATTCTTAATTAAAGATACTCTGATCTTAGCTGCCAGAGTGAATAAAGTCCATTTTACTTTAATTTCTGGAAATTCTGGAATATAAGTGAAGAGGGAAGAGAAACTAGGTGAACGGTTCTTTTTTTTATAAAATTTTTTGAAGGGGGGTAAAAAGGTTCAATTTCCCCCTTTTTATTTTTTAAGAGAGAGAGTCTCACTCTGTTGCCCTGGGTAGAGTGCAGTGTCTTACCTAGCTCACTGCAACCTCAAACTCCAGGGCTCAAAGGATTCTCCTGCCTCAGCGTCCCAAGTAGCTGGGACTATAGGGTCATGCCATGATGCCTGGCTAATTTCTCTATTTTTAGTAGAGATGGGCTCTTACTTTTGCTCAGGCTGGTCTTGAATTCCTGAGCTCAAGTAATCCTCCCACCTCAGCCTCCTAGAATGCTAGGATTACAGGCATCAGCCACCAGACACCAGCCACCACACCCAGCTAAGAGTTCTTTCTTGATAGAATTCCTTGCTACCCCCAACGCCCTCCCTAAGCTTATAGGAAATAATATTTAATAGTAAATTACAGTATACTTATAATTTTGCTACCATCTTTCTGATTAAGTTTCCATTTTGAAGTAAATCTTTTTTTTGGTTTTAAGATAGCTTATACCAGCCTTAAATTCATTGAATTTGAGGCCCAGAGAGGGTGGTTTGTCTGAGATCACACAGAGATCCTAAAACCACTGCCTCCTGGTTTAGTACTATCTCTACTCTACTGTGTCCCTGATAATTTTATTTTCTTAGATTATCTTCCCAGTGTCATTGGTCCGGATCCCATGTAATTATATATGTATGGTACATTGCACTGAGGAAAACAGTGATCACCCTCAGGGCAGAGGAAAATTCAGAAGCTTCACTGTCTTCTTATTGTTTCTCATGCTGAGTTCTTGTTTATTTTTTCATATGGTTGCCCACCCCTGTGGCTGTCCATACCCAAGACTGATAACCAATTTTCAGCTTCCTTGATTTCACGTCTTTTAGAGGACCTTTCCTTTCCATTTTGCCCCTACCCTGATAATCTCGGTCATCCCTATGGCTCCATGTGCCTCACTCTCACCCTTGTGTCTAATTTTTCTGTTTCATTCTTCAAATCTGGTCCCCCTGCCACCCTGTGCCAGTTTTGTCCTTCATCCTGTCTTCTTCCTTTCTTTGCCTGCTTTTCTCTTTCTTCTTGTTTTAGCATTTCTATCTCCCACTTTCTCCCTCCTGTCTCTTCCCCTCAAGACATACACACAAAGTTAAACAGGGCTCCCATGACACTACCCAGAGTTCTCTTTTCTACCAGTTAACTGAGCTGAAGGAAGGACCTGGCAATGGATTGGGGGTTGGGGACGGGGAGGAATTTCATTTAATTGGAAGGTTTGCTTAACTGTTATTTTCCATTTTCTTCTTTAGGGTCTTTTCCCCCCAGGTCAAGGAGCCACAATTGGAGTTGATTTTATGATTAAGACAGTGGAGATTAATGGTGAAAAAGTAAAGGTAAGATGCTTAATGTTTAATAAAGCTTTCATGTGCTGTATGAGAGGTTAGGGGAAGTAGTATTTTCCTAACATTTATTTAATCTCTTAATTGAAACCCACATTGAAAAAAGTATATTCAGCCATGACAGCTTGTTTCCAAACAGAGTTCTTTGGACCCTTTATGGGGGCAGAAAGAGATTTTGGATGATGTGTGATAGACTGGAACACAGAGAGAGAATGGCTAAGCAAGTTTCTCCTGTCTCCTGTCATGTTAGAGGTGATGTAAAGACAAGGAAGAAATTTCTTTTTGGATCTGCTGAGTTAGGCCAATAAGCAGTGCTGCCTCCTCTAAACAGCAGCCCCACGAAAGAACTTCCTGACTCCTACATTCCATTATGGGTCCTTTCATTACGAATCATTTATTAAAATTATCCTGTCTCTTACCATACCCTTATCCCTAGTAAAGGAGAGATATTAAATGAGGGGTCCAGGAAAGGATCCATGGTCTCTAACCTGTCCTCCCCCACCCCTCCACCTTGTGGCTTCTGGATGGTTTGGTACCTGGAAGAAATATGGTATGTTCAGTAAGAGAAGGGAAATAGTGTTTATTGAGTACCTACTGTATGTCAGTGCCTCCACTAGGTGCTTTTCCATGTGTTCTATTTAGCTTAATCTTTCCTGTAAACCCTGTGAGGTAAATGGTATCATCCTTGTTTTATAGGCTTCAGAGAAATTAAGTGACTTTTACTTATCCATGGCTATACAGTTTGGAAGGAAGGTAGGCAGGATTTGAAAAGGTTTTGCCAACCAGTACACCACACTGCTTCCCTAGGATCTCCTCTTGCCATGAGAGAAGAGGGGAATGAAGCCATAATAGGCCCTTCACCTTGGAGCAAGGAAAGGAAAAGGTGATGGGAAGAAATGTGAAGGGAGACTAAATTACATGGAAGGAGTGTTGAGATACTGATGTTTGGCATTGTGCTCTACCAGCCGTTCAGAAGTATTGAAATTCCATTGTCAGGTCTTTCAGAGAGAATTGACTAATCTCCCAAATCCAGTCCAAATCAATTTTCCTGTGATTCTTTCTAGCCCAATATGTAGATTCAAGATATAGGATGACCCTTCTTTAACCACATTAATTGAAGGGCCTCATTAACATATGGACATGTGAGAGCAACTTCTTTATTTGAAGAGGGCAGAACTGCCCAGTATTATCTTATTGTTGTCCTTGTTCTTTAACATGTCCTGACTACCTTTTCTTGGTGATATTTGAGTGTCTTTTTCTGGTCGTTTGCAGGCTTTCCTTGAGCCCCATAAAGTCAGTGCAAAAGAGAATCTGCTGGTTTATGCAGAATCACCCACCTGGTGAGTGGTGGGGCCAGGTCTCTCTCCTGACTTTTCATCACCTCCCTTGGCCTCCCCTGCAAGTATCATTCTTTTTAGGATGGCTCCCAAGGTTGAAGGCAGGGAATTCAAATTATTAGAAAGATTATTGTAGCTATTAAGGCTAAGTAAGTGCCAAATCAGTAAAGGCAAAGTTAAGGAAGAGGCCCTTCTCTTAAAATGGTGTTCATTATGAAGGTGACTTTCGGTAGAAAATATAATTAAAACATGTAAACCACTTGAATTATATAGTTAAAGTGGTTGAAACGATAAATTTTGTTATGTGTATTTTAGCACAGTAAAAAAAGTGGAAAAAGTATAGAATTTTCACTTATCCATTGATTTTTTAGCCTATCATAAATTAATGAGTAATGAGCAAAACTCTAAGCTCAGTCTAAAACATTTTAACCTCAGGAGATTAATTATAATAGAAATAGAAGATTTGCTATATTTCTTTCTAATCAGGTCTATGTTGCATAGAGAGGAAAGTTATGAAAGTATATGCCTATATTCATGCCTTCAACCATCTGTCCCTCAGTTCATCCATGCATCCCATGTTATAGAAGATGTTTTGTGCCAAGCACTGTGGTAGGTAAAGCATCTTTGCCCACTAGAAACTTATTGTCATCTAGCTCTAATAATATTTTATCTGTAAGACCTCTTTAATACCCTATTAATCTGTTAAATAGAATTAATCAATCCCTCCTTTGTGATTCTACAATCCTTTGTTCTTTTAATTAGCCATCATTCAAATGTGTCCACCACATTCTATGTACTATGCTAGAAAGGCGCTGGGAATATAAGGTCAAATAAGAGACAGCCCTTGCCCTCAAAGGACTCAGTCTAGTAAGGGAACTAGCAGTGCATTATTGTGACAGTGAGGCAATGGAGGTTAAGTAATAGTGCAAAGAAAAGAGTAGACAAACAATGTAGCTCCATGCTGGAGTTGAGAGTGATTAGAAAGCCCATGGCTGCAGTATTGAAAACATACGGACAGGCGTGAGACTAACACTAGGAGACACACTCTTCTTCTGGCACCTCTTTAATAGAATATCTCATATTGTACTATTGTTAATTAACTATGTGTGTGTCCTCCCTATAGACTGTGAGCTCTTTGAGATCAGGGATCATGTTTTATTCATCTTTGTGTCTTCCCTGTGCCTAGCACAGTGCCCTGCATATATTTATTGTTCTGCAAATGCTGAAACGAAGCGAATGAATTGAAGAGAATGGTGAAACCAAGTCAAGTGATAAAGGCAGTGGAATATTAATATCCTCAGTAATCAACTGTCCAATCCAATTCCAGGCTAGAAACAGGCAGCCTCCTATAAGAAAGTGGCATATATCTTGGCAATATTTCAGTATTTAAACAAGTGTTTGAATATTCAAATATTCAAAACAAGTGTTTTAGAGGCTCGGGGTGGATATATAACAATAGTCTGTTATTCTAAGACACATCCTGGCAGAGAGGGACCATGTCCCTAGGTTTGAGGCAGAAAAGAGAAATAGCTTTTGTCTCAGCAAATACCATAACATCTGTATGGTTGCCTTTAGCATACGGATTTTCATGTATATCATTGAAGAACAGCTGCAACTTCAGATCAAAGGAGAGCCTTTGTGTGCTGCTGATTCATGGCAGGGACTATTGGTCAGTCAGCAGTCTCTTTAGCTAAGCTAGTATGAGCACAGGTTGACACCAACTGATTCATCCTCTTTGGATACAGATGTACATTTAAATTAGTCTTCAGTGGCAGAGGCAACATGGTGGTATCGAATGAGTCCTCAATTGGGAATAGAAGACCTAGAGTCTGAGTCCCAGCTTTGTGAGTGACCAGTTAGGAGACAGTTTCCATTAATAGGGGGAGGCATAAACTTGGCTATCTCATTAGATTTTTGTAAGGATTAAATGAGACCATCAATAAATATTTGAGCATCTACTATTTGGCAGACATTGTATTATGAGTAAAATGAATCCTGACTTCCGCCTTATGAAGCTTTCAGTCTAGTGGGGAAGATAGCTGTTAAACAAAAATTATTACAAATAAATAAATGATTCAAGTGTGTCAGGTGCCGTGAGGGAGAATGACAGGAGATGCTGCAAAAGAGACTGTGTGGGGTACGGGATGGGGAACCTAACCTAATCTGAGGGTTCTGCACATCCTTCCCTGAGGAAGTAATACTATGTCTATGGAGGTTAATGCACCAGTGACCTGGCAAATGTATACAATTAGGAGGGAAGATTGTTGTTGTTGATGTTCTTATTTTTCAAGTCCTTGTGATTTGTTCTATGCTTAACAGTCTTCTGAACAGTTCTCTTTCAGTAATCATCTGCTCTGTACAGGGAAATTCAGAGAGGAGAAGTGAGAAGTATTTTGCCTTCTTTGTTATTAGAACCATCAATTATTAGATCTTAGAACTGGTAGATAACTTCAGAAAATGTGAACTTTCAGCAGGTTGCATATTATCAACCCCTTTTTATAAAGAAACAACTGAAGCCTAAAGAGATTAAGTGACTTGCCCAAGGTCACAGAGTTTAAAAGTGGTAGAAAGAAATTATTTTTTAGTCTGCCATGGCATTCTTCCTATTTTTGTTAACAAAGATAATACCTTAATATGTTCATTTGCATTTCGAACTGGAAAAGGTGGTGAAGTTGGATTTTTCCCCCTCTCCAGTTGCTGACTGAAATAGCAACAGTCACAGGATGACAGCTTGCTCTGTATCGTGCCTTTTTGTAATACAGCATTGTGGTTAAGAGCGTAGACTCTGGAGCCCCAATGCCTGGTTGAACTGGCTCTGGAACATACTGACTGTGAGATGCTGAGTAAGTTAATTAATCGCCCTGTGCCTCAGTTTCCTGACGTGAGAAATGGGTATTGTGATAATACCTACCTCATTGGGTTATTGTGAGGAATAAGTGAGTTACTACATGTAAAATGCTTAGACTAGAGCTTGGCACATGATATGCTCTCAATAAGTTTTTCTAAAATTTATTTTTAAAAACAAAGAGGAAACTCTTAAATAACAAAGAAAAGAACAAAAAACAAAACAAGTCCCTCTCCTTAACCAGAAATACACCCAACACATTAAGAAAAAAAACTCTTTGGTACTTTCGTTAGGGCAGAAAATAACCACAGAATAATTTGGGTGAAGGTGTTCCCATTTCCAAACAAAAGCAATTTTCTGCTTCTCCAACCCACTCCTTCTTTTATACCTTTACAGCTACAGATCTGGGACACAGCAGGTCAAGAGAGATTTCGGTCCATTACCCAGAGTTATTACCGAAGCGCCAATGCCTTGATCCTCACCTATGACATTACCTGTGAGGAATCCTTCCGTTGCCTTCCCGAGTGGCTGCGGGAGATAGAGCAATATGCCAGCAACAAAGTCATCACTGTGTTAGTGGGTAAGTAAGGACTAATGAGGAGGGAAATTGATTTGTGGGCATCAGAGAATTTATAGTCACGTAAAGCTTGTGCTTGGGTACCTTCCAAGAATATAGGTTATAGCTATATACTTCATGCCGTCAACATTCACTTCTTCTGCAATTGAAGAGAAAATGAAATAGGTCCTATCCCATGGTGATGGTTTAGAAAAACAAAGTAGAAAACATTGCTGACTGATTTTTTTTTATCAACATAGGGTCTAGGAAAGAAGTTGGATGGTCATGAAAGCTATGTGGGCTGCTGAACATTAAAAAAAAAACAAAGCTAATTACAAGATGGTGCTAATGGCTGGTCTAGAAGTAAAATATCTTTTAAAAAATATCTGATAAGGAATTCATTATTGAAGCAATTGTTTATTGCCCAAAAAATGGACTTTGGTTATTTTTTTCCTTCCTAATATTTATGCTGATTTAAGAAATTCTATGTTTTAGAAAGAATCCACTAAGGGAAATGCCACAGTTTGTTTTCATCTTGTAGGAAAATAGAACCTCTGTTTATTATGGGGGAAAAGCAGAAAACTACCTTTGGTTTTCTATGGTGAAAAATATACCCATTAAAAACAGAATTGCAATGAAATGGACTAGGTCATTAAAAACTCCTCTAGCTGTAATGGAAAAGTGTTAATAACTGTTTGGTTGTTAAAACATTTTCTTCCTAGGAAGGAATGTTGCTTTTTATTCTAGACCTGAATTTTGGAAATTTGGAAAGAGAACCTTAGAAACATTCTTAAATTACAAACTGTAGTTAACAGTAAGCTAAGTAGACACTTTATACAGCATTATAATTGGTATATAAGAGCCAGGAATCATACTAGGAACTTTGTGTGTTATTATCCCTAATTTACGGATGAGGAAACCAAGGAAGGCTCAGAGAGGTGAAGTTCTTTGCCCAAGGTCACAAGCATGTAAGATCAACTCCAAGCTCTATAGTTGCCCACTGTAATATTTTGCTTTGTAACAAATTGCTGAACTTTTCCTTCAGGCCGCTAGGTTAAGTATGTGCCTCTCTATGAGCTAGTGCTCTGTGCCCAGTCCGAAAAACCCAGTTGCACAAGGGAAAACCTTTGCCATGAAGCATTTGAGAGCCCCTGGCTCTGGCCTTGTACTTTCTCTCTGTTCCATAGAAAGCCCTTGAGATCTTGAGTCAAAGCATTAATACTTGAGGTTTTATCTAAGGAAGTTAAATGAAGATTTGAGAGGAGATGGTTCAATATGAAAGAGGCATTGGCCTTTTTAAAAAAAATAACCTTTTTACTATGGAAAATTTCAAACATAAGCAAAAATAGGGAAACAGTACAGTGAATCCCTATGTAAATATCTCTCAGCTTCAGTAATTATCAACTATAGCCAATCTTATTTTTTCTGTCCCCATCTATTCTGTCTACCCTCTCCCTCGGATTATTTTGAAACAAATCCCAGATGTTATATTAATTCATCCTTCAATATCTATGTATATCTCTAAAAGATAAGATTTTTAAAGTGAAAACCTAACCACGGTGCCATTTTCACACCTAAAATGTATTAACAATTCCTTTTTAGCCTCAAATAATTTAGATAATGTTCAAATTTCCCTGATTAACTCATGAATTTTTTTTAAGTGTGTTCAAATCAAGATCCAAATAAGGGCCACATGTTGTAATTGATTATGTCTTTTAATTCTCCTTTTGTCTGTAGGTTCCCCTTCTATTTTTTCCTCTCTTAGAATTATTGCTAAAGTGTTTGTTTGTCTTATAGACTTTATAAGTCTAAATTTTGTTGTTTCACCCCTGTGGTATCATTTGACATGTTCCTCCATCACCTATATTTCTTGAAAACTTATAAGTAAATCTAGAAGCCTGATGAGATTCGGGTTTTGTTTTGTTTTGTTTTGTTTTCCTGTTAGCTAAAAGACTACATATATGGTATTCTGAGGTGCAGTTCTCATAGGACAGGCAAGAATGCTTGATTCTTTGTTTTTTATTCACCACTTTTCAAGGTAATAAGTTGGTTCTCTAGTCTGTTTCGAAAGTAACTATTGAAGTTCGTTTATATTTTTAGTATCATTACGAACTTATGGAGTTAAATATATTTGATATATTCCTGTCCCTTGCGATCATTATTATTATTATTGATGTTCCAATTTTTCCATCTTTGGCAGTGGAAACTTTTTCAAATGGGCTTCTGAGTCCTTTTGACATAGCCCCAGAAATCTTTGATAATTTTTTTGCTTTCTGGTGTAAGTGTTCCAGCCACATCTTGTGCACTTCCTGCCCCAGACCTGGAATTAATCATTTCTTCTAGAAGTGCTGTTTTTTTTAAAATGGGAAGTTGTATTTAGAGGCTACAACCTGGCTGCTAGGAGTCCTCCTGACTAGTGGGTTGGTTATCATTTTTAGGCTTTTCAGTGGGTAGAGTGTGTATGTGTGTGTGTGTGTGTGTGTGCGTGCATGCGTGTGGAGGAGTGTGGTAAATTCCATAGTATCTACAAGAAGGTTGTCTTATTAGGCTCTGCTAGGTGTTCAGATTCACAAGACCGTCATAGACGATGTGTGGCATCACGTTCATTTAGAAGGATACAGGATAGGAAACATGGCTTAACAGCAGGCCAGCAGCAGGCATCCCTCTTTGGTGGGAGTAATACTCATAGCAGTCCACGTAGCTTTCCAAGACAATTCAAGTGTGAGGGAACAAGGCTCACTTCAGGAGAGTGCAGGATCTGCCCTGGCCTAGAAGCCTCAATGCCCCACAGGAGCCAATATCTCTTATAACAACTCCACACTCCTAACTTTCAGGGTCCCATCACCACATTCAGGGAAGCCCAAAGTTATGGCTTTCCACTGGGTATTTATAATCCATAGATAGAATTCCAAGGCCAGATGTAATTTATCAATCAGCAGGCATTTTTACCATAAGCAATATTGCCGGGTAACACAATTGACATTATCACCTTTGTCAAGTTTCCCAGACAGTAGAAGTAGAAAACTTTTTTAAAGATAAAATACACTATCAATTATTCACACCGATATGTCTATTTATAATTCAGGACTGTAGAAATTTACTTAACCTCATTAATCTTATATCTACATTGCCTTTTTCTCATGCCAAAATCCCAGTTCCCAATGACACCAGCATAATTACTCATTTACTTTATCTCATAATACACATATAGCAGCCTCAGAATAACAATACCAACACTACCACCACTAAGATGATTACTGAAACAGTTCAAGGTTTTTTTCCTGCAATTCTTTTTTTTTTTTTTTTTTTTTTGAGACAGAGTCTCACTCTGTTGCCTGGGCTAGAGTGAGTGCTGTGGCGTCAGCCTAGCTCACAGCAACCTCAAACTCCTGGGCTCAAGCAATCCTTCTGCCTCAGCCTCCCGAGTAGCTGGGACTACAGGCATGCGCCACTGTGCCCAGCTAATTTTTTCTGTATATTTTTAGTTGTCCAGATCATTTCTTTCTATTTTTAGTAGAGATGGGGTCTCGCTCTTGCTCAGGCTGGTCTCGAACTCGTGAGCTCAAACAATCCGCCCACCTCGGCCTCCCAGAGTGCTAGAATTACAGGTGTGAGCCACCGCGCCCAGCCCCTGCAATTCTTTTTGTCCTTAGGGTATATACCAGTACAGATGCATGGTTAAATTACTGAATCTTAAACTCACTTGAAATAGTTTCTGTCCTTGTGGTTATACCACTACATGACAAACATGTTCATTTGTTTAATTTTGCTTTCAATTTTTAGGAATTGCTTTTTGAATTTAATATTAATTATATAATTATAATTAATTATATAATTATATAAAACATTTATAAGTTTCTAAAGTCAAACCTACAAAACAAAGTATATTCAGAGAGGCCTGGTTTCTATCCCTGTCCCCTCAACCCTGTTCCTTTCATAGGTAACCTTATCTTTTAAACTTAGATTTTGATTTATTTTTCCATTAAAAAAGGGAATAAAGTATATAATATATATATATTCATATTATTTCCTTTTTCTTGGACAGTTACACATTATATATACTTTTTTTCCTTTTTTTTGTTTTTATGCTGAACAGTACATCCTAGTGTTCTCATGCTATGGCAGTATATGGAAACATCCCTTATTGTTTTTTACAGTGGCAAATACTCCATTGTGTGGATGTACCATAGTTTATTCAGTCAGTGCCCTACTGATGGACATTTGAGTTGTTTCCAATTCTTTGCTGTTACAATGGCACTCACATTTTAAAATAAACATTTCAGTAATCATAGTCATATTGGCTTTGCTTTCTTTGCTCACCCATCTGTCTGGTTTGACTTCAGATCTGGAATTGCATTTCGATGCTTTTGGGGCTGCAAAAAGTCAAATGATGATTCTTCCTTTGATTTTGCTGCTGTTACAGGCAACAAGATTGATCTGGCTGAAAGGAGAGAGGTCTCCCAGCAGAGAGCTGAAGAATTCTCAGAAGCTCAGGACATGTATTATTTGGAGACCTCAGCCAAGGAATCTGATAATGTGGAGAAACTCTTCCTTGATTTAGCATGTCGACTCATCAGTGAAGCCAGACAGAACACACTTGTGAACAATGTATCCTCACCCTTACCCGGAGAAGGGAAAAGCATCAGCTATTTGACTTGTTGTAATTTCAACTAAAGGCTGAGGCAAGGAGAAGCAAAAGGAATCAGCAGCTGCCCTGATGGGCCACAAGTTACTGGGGAGATCTGGAGATGACTGTGGCTCCTGCTCTCGGATCTTATGACTCCTGTGGGCTCCTGAGCTTACAAAGCATGGCAGGCCAAGGGCCTTGACCACAGGCCAGCATTAGCAGAACATATAATGGTTTCACCCTTTTGCAGTCTGGAGTTGGAGCAAGGAGAAAATTGCACTAGGCACTCCATGATCTGCAGAGCATGTTGCTTTTGTTTTTTTAAAAAGCAAGTAAAAGTGCATTCCTGAACACAGCCCAGGGGGAAATGTACTGTAGGGATCCCTCCTGCACGTCAGTGGGTGCATGTGGGAGCTGTTCTTTAGGGCTTCGGTAGTAATCTTCTAGGGGCCCTGGTTTTCTTGTCTACCAGATAAACCAAAACTGGGAAGGCCAAGTACTGTCTCTGTGGTGCATATCGATGACCCCGTGGGGATTTTGAAAAGTGTTATTTCTCTTGTCCACAGGCACTTTCAAGAACTTTGGGATGTAAAAATGAAATGAAACCTTTACCCATGACCAACAGTAACAATCATTGTTTTAAAAATATATTCAAGCTCCATGACTCCTTTTGGTGCTAATGATTCTGCTGTTTCACAGACCAAACGTTTTAGTACATTGATGTCTTTAAATGTATTATGTAGAAATAAAAAATCGGGGAAGTCCATGAATCAGCACTCTTTCTCAAAGTCTCATTACTACCTTTTTAAAGGTGGATTTGTTGGAAAAGAGAGTACTTTTCCTTTCATGTTCCCTACTGAATCTCTGCCATTTTCTTCTACTCTCTTATCTTCCTGCCCTTTAAGTAAATGAAAAAATTTGAAAAATGGAAAAAAAATACAGATGTTGATGATATTCTAATATAAAAGATTAGCTCTAAAACGTCATGAGTAGTATGAGAAAACTGACCAGATATGACCAAAATACTGTGGATTAATGGACTGCAGTGCAGGGTTCCAAGCAGAGCACAGTCCTAGATAGCAGGTGACATCTTTTACTTCCTGGTACTGTCCATCTTGGACAGACCAAGGCTTAGGATTTTGTAGATTTTTTTAGTATAATCAGTGAGAATAGCAACAGATGATAAGTTTCATGAACCATTTTTGTATCTTCTATGATAACCTTAGAAAAATTCTGTTTGTGGAAGCAGGTTGAACTGTCATTTATCCCCTCTTGTAATAATGTTACTCTGAGACTCATGACCATACACTCTTTCCTGTTTCTTTTTCTTTTCCTTTCTTTCCTGGTCTCTCTCTTCTTTCCTCCCTCCCTCCCCCACTTCTTCCCTCCCATCCTTGTATGCATGTGTTACTGCAAATCTCCAATTCAAATGGAGGTGTATATGCCTTTACTTAGCCAATTTTAAAACAAGACTCGAAATGGAAGATGTGCTGCTGAATGTGTTTCTGTTTCTTCAGTGCCATACTTTGATAGCTTCCAATTTGTTCTCTGATATAAATGCAAATTGGGAAAATAATTAAACCTGTTATATTGTTGATGTTGTCAGAGGTTTCTGTAGCTTGCTGCTTAGCATAACTGAGGGATGAGTAATGGAATAAGATATGGTATATAATTCCACTGTTGCTGTAGATGGTGACAATCTCAGTCCTGATATGTTGATGTTTAAAAGCTATTTAACTGTAAAGAAATGAGTGATGTAGGGACATGATATTGATAAAGCATCTAGCATTTCTCTAACAGGTTCCAGAGTGACCAATCTCTTGCTCATGGGATTATATATATTGTGTAAGGGACTGATACTTTTGATTGCCCTCACTGTGTTTTTCCTGATCCTATGGGAAAAAGAAAGGGATTCCAGAAGTTTGACTTGTTTTGCTTTTAGAATCTTCCTCTACAGGAAAGAAAAATCATTTTAATAAAAATCAAAATAATTTATAATAATTGTTCCTTTCCCTCCCCATCTTCTCCACTAAGCCAGCAACTAAAGGTATTTAGAAAACAAGTTAATCAAAGTGGGCAGAAGAAATTCACTTTTTAAACTGTGAGGAAATGTCCCTAACTTTAGATTTATTACCTTTCATTTAGGGCAAAAGTGCAATGTCCCCAGCACATAGTGACCCAACTTTGTCTCACAGCAGCAAGTGTATTGAAAATAAAGTTACTTTGTGAACTTAGAGGAATATGTTTTGTTAGATTGGACTGATATAGTTGCAAAATAACAGGTTTTAGGGCCATACTTGTGTTATGAAATTCTCATTCCCTAGGGTTCAGCCTCCTCTTTATACGCTTGGCCAGACTCAGAAGGGGATTAGAAAGCTCTTCTCTTGGCCCTTGTCTTCCCCTTACTCCTCCCAGCCTTTCTGTAGCTTACAGTCACCCATCCATGGCCCATCAGCAGGGACACATGAGAATGTGGGACTTTGTTTCTTTTTTTCTTAGTTGTGTGAATTCCAGATTAGGCCTTATGGACACTTGTCCACTGATATATCTCAAGTTTGAGAACAATCCCTGACAATATTGTAGGTGCAATAAATATTAGTTGAATAAACAATTTAGTGCCAAGAGGGACTTTTTTGGTTAAACAGAAATTCCTTCAAGTAGAACTTGAGAAAGGACACTAATTAAATGAAATCATCTTCACCCAGGCCAGGACCTAAACTTATTGGTTTGCCTAATAGTTCTTCTTGTCATGGCAATATTTCCTAAGATGAGCCTTCTTTAGATAAAAATGAATTCTCATTTAATGGTAGTTGAAAAAGAGTTGCTTTATCATAATTTAACTTGGCTTGGTCTGACTAATAAGACTACCAGAGTCCAGGTCTCCATTTTTGGTGTGATCTTTTTCTTCTTTTAATAAAGTTATTAACTATATGGCAAAACTTTTTCAGTTTCCAATGGAAACACATGATATTCATGTCATAGAGTCAGGCTTGGGGAAATCTATGAAATCATAGTTTGCTAGTGATATTTTATTATGGCTTTGTGTAGACTGTATCCTCAAAAGATTTTGTGCTTCTTCTTCCCCCATGGAAGGCTTTTTCTCCTTTCTATGCTTTTATTAGATCTGTTGAATTATATTAACATTTATCTTTTGACTATACAGGGCCAAATATCTTTTTTGTGGCTTATGTAGACTAGGCCATTGGTTTTTCCTGGCCTTTCTTTTTCCCTGTCTTTTAGTCATTTCATGTTAACATGTCTGCCTAAGTAAATTGGCAAGAAAATAACTAAAAATGAAACTCAAATGGATCAATTTGACAATTTGTCAAGCTCTGATTTAGAGTTTGTAAGAAAGGTAGAGACCACTGACCAAAATAAGATATTTGGATTAGGATTATTTTAAGCCATTTAGACTTGTTGGAGGAAGGAGGCAGATTCAACATAGGACTGAATTCTTATCTTTCTTCTTCTGTTCACGAACGAATGCCTTTGGAGGACACTGGTGACTTCCTCAGTGTTAGGTCAGTGATTTGCCTCATTCACCCTTTAGCGATCCTGTAATTCTACTGCATCCAGTTTCAATTAATGCCTTTTGTTCTGAATAAATACCAGTTGCAAATGATTTTGAATTGGTCCTCTGACTAAAGTGAAACATCTTTTTTTAAACCAAGGCATGTGAATGAGATATCTTCTTATAATCAGAAAAAAAATTTGTTTTTTTCCTGCGTATCAAACGAATGGCCTTAAAGAAAGACATTTTATATTTCTTAATCCTGTAGAACTCTGTGTATTTCATGGTCATAAATACTTAGGGATCGTTTCTCTATTAGCCTCCAGGAGAGCTCTGCTAGGATTTGCGATTTGTTTTTTCTAGATTTTTTGATTTTGTTTTAACTGCAAGTGATTGCTTACTGTCCTCAACCATGGTCCTGACAGAGGTGTTTTGATGTAACCATGATAATACTTTTGAGACTTAGCTAGAGAATCAAAAGCACTGAAATAACATTTGCATCTCATCCTTCAGACAAAATGTATTCCATATAAGTAATCTGGTTAAACACCGATTTGGGGATAAGGAGGGGTGTGTTTACTTTACTCTGTTTGGATTTCATTTCTGTGACATGAGCCTATTTGTGTTTGGAAGGAAAGATGCCTTCCCTTACATTCTTCATACTGGTAATTTCTTCATACTGAATTAAGAAATTACCATCCCTTCAAACTGCTAATGAATATAGTAATGCTAGAATAAGGGAGGTGGTACTTTATCTCCTTTCCTAAGTCCCATGATTTTGGAATGTTATTAATACAACCATTTCTGGGAGCCATAGTCTAAAATTAAAAACAAATTGAGGTATTACCAGCCTGGTGAAGGAATTTAAAATTTAAGAAGTTTAAAGAATACTTGAAGGATTTGGGGAGATTTAGCTTAGTAAACAGAGGAGAATACAATTATTCTATTAGAGCAAGATGTTCTATGGTTCAAAGGGGTGGAATGAGGTCCACTGAATGAGGCCATAGGGCCACAGATTTGGGTTCCATGTGAGGGAGAAGATTCTCAAAAAGTTGGTTCTCCATGGAATGAGCTGCCTCAGGTAATAGCCTCTGTCAAGCAGAGGCTAGATAAGAACTTGGCAAAAATGATGTAGAGAGAATCCAAGCATTGGTTGGGGATTGGACCAGAAGACCTATCCACCTAAAATTCTATGTTGCAGTAATTTGCCCCTCATAACATGTTTAATTGAATGTCTGTTGAACCATAGCTAATGATTTTTTTAAAGGAGATTTTCTCTTCTGCCAGCAGTGCGTTCTGCTTTCCAGGAAGGAGGTTGGTTACGGATCAGTAGGCCAAGAGCCTGGCTTGCCATTATGCCGTAAGCTGTGATTGCCTTGTCAGTCCATTCACTGATGTCCCATTGAAATCACAAATTTGTTCTTGAAGTAAAAATCCAAAAGGTATTGTCTTATTAGTTACATGAAATTATTCATTTATCACTTGCCAAACATAGGCCTTGCTCAGTTTAATGAAGAATGGGTGTCTCTTCAGGATTTCAGGATAGGTCTTTTTAGCAAAGCAGAATCTTCTGTTAAAGATCCCACAAATAGAGCAATATGAAGTTTTGCAGCTCCCATGAGAGATGGGCAGGTGGGTCACTGGCATAAAGCAGTCCTCAAGATCTATTTTAGAAAAGTTTCAGATGACATTTGGTTAGCTGGTTTGATTTTCTTGAGAAAACATGAGTTTAAAAGAACTGAGACCAAATTGCTTCATATAGAAAGTAATAAAACATAGGACTTCGATTTGAAAATTAGATAGCAATTTTTGCTAATAAAGTGAATGGCACAATGATTTTATTACAAAATAACTTTTACCCTTGCTAGGCTAATAAATGGCTCTTCACTGGTCCTTTAAAAAAAAGTCATTGGTCTTGAATCAGTGCGGTGAGAAAGAAACATACTTGAACATGGGTGAGACTTTGACTCTTGGATAAGAGATCAGAGCACAAAGGCTAGCCACCACTTCTTTGACTTCCTGAGGTATGCGTCAAAATCTTACTTTCCCACTAATTTGAAGTAGAATTTTTGGAGATACTGTGTTCTAGTTCCTGATGGAATCTTTGGTGAATGGTGACTTTGACACTTCAGAGAGTGATGTACAGAAGGGGGAACACTAGGTGTGAGAAGTCCTAGTATGCCACAAATTAGCTGCGACTTCAGGCAAAGCACAATTATCTTGAGTACCAATTTTCTCATCTATGAGATAGACCTGTCAGGATTATTGTGACAATTAGATGAGATAAATTCAAAGTACAGTATGCACTCAAATATTAGTTCTTTTCTCTTTAATTAAGAGCAGACTTTGGATGGTCTGATACAAGTATAGATCCTTAAGGGACAAAACAAAGAAACCTTCCTGGCTTCAAAGAAAAGAACTCCATTTCTGAAAGGGTGCCTTAAAAGGAAGTCACTTATTTGATCCATCCTTTTACCTTTGGACTTTATGGTCTCAGTCACCCTTCCATTTCTTTACATACTTCAGGAAAGGTATTTTTCTCTCTCTCCCAATAGGCAATTCCAGGGTTGTAAACTTGTTATTATCAGGAAATTTAATCTTAGAACTGAAATACCTCACAGTGCAATTTAAGCTTCTTTTTTTTTGATCCCATTTTGCATGGGAAGAAAAATGGTTTGATCCCTATCTTCTTTTTAAGGGGCTACATTTGCCATTTGTCATTGCCCTTTTGCCTAAAAAAAAAAAAAGGTCAGAAAACTCATTAAGGTGATAATCATTCCCTTGGTGAATGTCAGAATAAGTATTTATTAACTCTTCACTTCTTATTGGTATCAGACCATAATCTTACTGGTGATTAACTCTTCAATTATGTATTTTTATTCTTTAATTATAACACATAATTGATAACAATGTGCTTCTAAAGAATTATTCTGGTTGTGTGGCTCTTGTTTCCTCTCATTGGTAAAAATGGTGTCATGAATCCGTTTTGTGGTCTGCTTTTAGAATTTAATTTCATATATAACATTACTTGATGGACGTAATTACCAACACCCAAAAGGGTTTCTTTCCCTTTCTATGTGTGCACTAAGTACTGAAATAAAATTTGGAGTACCAAATACCTAATAGGGCAAAAATTCATGTACAGAACAAAAGATAAGAATCTGGTCTGTTCGGATAATTTGTCACTAGTTGGCTGAATGGTGCACAGCTTTTGTTTAAGGTTATACACTATGCCTGGATTAAGTAACAATAGTAAAACTTGACAAGCCTTCTGAAAAACAGCTGCTAAACATAGTGCTTTCTGGAATGTAATCATGAAGAATAAATATTCTCTTGTCCTATACAATTACAGAGTGCAAGTGGAACTTTCTTGTAGACTATTTGACAATGAATGTCAATTGATTTATTTTTAAAAATGTTTTTAAATCCTTTTATCCCTTTAAGGCCTATTGAGGCTTTCATGTCCCTGTTATAGAAAATTTCAAATGACTGGAATGCTGGCTTCTAATTTCTACTCACTGAAGTGTCTTCTAGACATACCAGATGGTTGGAGCTCCTTTGATAGTATATAAGGGAGCTACATAAATATATTTGGATTAGCACAGAGTAAAATTGCTGTTTTCAACAAAAAAAAACCTCTGTTCAAAATTTCAGTTAAAACAGTGGTTAGAAGAGATTTTTGATGAAGGAAAAAAGTATGCCCCATATATACTGTTGCACACACTTTAATGCATGACTTTTAGTATAGGGATGAAATAAAATGCAAAATATATAATTCTGGAGATCTCAGCAGCTAGTTAAAATATTTAGAGAAGCTGCTTAGAGAATCCTTGATTCCCTCCTCCCTTTCCTATCTCTCCATTAAAACACATACACATAGATTTAACAAACAGGTTAATCATTGAGTTTTATGAACTCAATTCTTAATATTTGGCTATTGGTTTTAAGCATAGGATCTCAGTAAAATTTGTATGCATCAATATATATAAAATCTAACCAACTTCAATACAAGAATAGTACTTGATTTTAAATGTTAATATGCAACTATTAATAGTATACTGCATCATATTTTCTGTTCACACATTGATTTTTTTACTTAACAAAAAACGTGTTAGAAATATAGGCCACTAATGACCTGAGTGCAATTTGCTGAAAACATTTTGTAGAAAGGTGACTGTATGGAAAATTCAATCAACATTTTAAAAGAGGGGTAGGGAGGGAATAAAAAAACTGAACAAAATATTTTTAAACGAAGTTGCATCTCTTTGTAAAATTAGGATATAATTTACATGCCATACAATTTACCCTTTTAAAGTGTAAAATTCAGTGTTTTAAATTATATTCACTAAGTTGTGCAACATCACCATTATCTAACTTCAGAACATTTCATCATCCCCAAAAGAAGCCTTGTACCGTTAGCAGTCGGTC